AACACTCCTCTGAGATTTAGGTCCGTATCACCGTGACGGCATTAGGATGTTGCTACAGATATGAATCTCATCCCAAAGGTGTTGTATCGACTGAGCGCTGGAGGAAGCTAATTTAGCTGCAGCAAGTTAATGTCATGTTCGACAAACATGCTTCAGGTGACGGGATGTTTGTCGGCAGGTACTCTGAGTGGGCCCATGACACCGTAGCTACCGTCCAAAAGCCATGCTTTTATGTTGTTTACCCTCTTTACTCAGAACTCAGATCTAGGAATGAGTCAAGGACTGGTTTCTAATCTTCCCTTTTTCCTCCTTTTGCTGAACCATTGCAGATTATAGCCTCACTTTTTTCAGTTTGTCACTGACAACAGCGGCTCAGTTCGGCCTTCTGTTGCTGCGGCCCATCTGCTCCGAGGTTTTGTTGTGTATTTAGATGTGCTCTTTTGGCAGACCTAGGTCATTACCAGTAGCTAGTTAAGCTACCGTTTGCTTCCCCTGTTAACCGAGCTGTTAACATCTGGTTGTTTAGCACAGAAGGCTAACACATTTGCTGTTGAATTAAACCGATTAAATATTTACTTTAACCGCAGCAAAGGGAGTGTTAATGAATAAGAAGCGAGGGATTCGTCTTAATTGTTCCTCAAGTTCATACGTTCCATAAATGTCTCTCTGGATTTAACTCGAAAGAAGCAGTTACTGCAAACGTTAAGGGTGACAGCGCGAGATTAAATATTGAACTAGTCTGCCCACGAGTATCACAAAACATTGAACATTGATAGTGTGAATATAAAAAAGTATAGGTGTTAGCTAGCTATCTGTCACAGCACAATGAACCACAAACCCCAGAAATGCTGACAGTATTTTCTTTTGTTCTGCATTTATGGGCATTTAGGTTTACAACTAAACCTAAGCTAAAATCTTAGCCCAAAGACTCTGATCACCCTGATCGTGCTAAGCATATTTGTTCTCCACGATCAGCGCGTTTCACGTTTTGAAAGTGCTGGGCCGTCAGAGGGACATGACAAAAATGTGCAGTAGCAAATCAGGACCTGAGTATTAGACAAAACTGCTGCTTCTGCTGTGAGGTGGCGAAAAAGAAGAAGTGAGGCAGAGAGGAGCGTTAGCGGGGATAGTTCTGAGGAATCCATTTTGACGTCAAAGACCAAAAGACAAAAATTGTTTTTTTTTTCTGATTTTTCTTTTTTTTAACAAATATAAAACATGTAGACATGCTTTAAGGCAACACAACCAGAAGACAAAGGCAACAGTCAAACAAACTGCGTGGCCGATGGCGCCGTCTTGCACAGAGCAAAATGAGAAACCACATGCCTTTAAATAGACCGAAAAAGAGAAGTGTGAAGTGGACGGAGATGCACACTGAAGGGCAGAGTTTTATGTCAGCTTTCGATTAGACGAGGAGTGAAAACCAGCGGCTCTGCAGGACCGCGTCGACGGCTAACGGCTACGGCAAACTGGGATTTACCTGGAGCAACGGCAATTTTTGCAAAGCACGACTAACAGGAAGGAGACGGGGAGGTCAGAGAGAGAGAGAGAGAAAGAGAAGTGACAACAAGTGAGAGCAAAAAGGGGGTAAGGAGAGAGGAGGGTGATTTTTTTTTTTTTTTTCCGCATTTCGACGTTCTGAATATGTGCTTTGTTAAAGGGTGATTCATGTTCAGGCGGCAGAGATAAATGACTGGGATGGCTCAGCTCGATGCCTTTTCTTTCCCAGCGTCCTTTGCTGAGACGAGCAGCCCGTATTGCCAGGCCAACAGTATCCTGGCAACCATCAGCAGAGCTCTGCTCTCTGGCTAGACCACATGCTGCTGCTGCTTGACCAAGTAGATGCGTAGTACTGTGCGTGGGATTGCGCTGCTACCGCACACACGCACCTATTCTGGTGTCAGGGCACTTTCTGTGAACATTTCTGCCCACGCATTTGCCTTTGTAATCATCATAGTCGCGGCTGGAGATGTTCATGCGTTATTCATATATTCATAGGTGGTGGAGCAGGTGGGTCTGAGACTCAGGGTGTGTGTGTTTTACACCGTCACACTCTGGGTTTGCAGCAGTGACTCAGCTTACGTCTCTCTCTCTCTCTCTCTCTCTCTGTCTTGTCCTCCTGAGACATATTAATGATAGACACACAATACAGTAGCTGCAGCGTGTGTCTGAAACCTCAGAGGAGAGTATCCGAAAGCTGTCTCAGCGACAGGAGAGCGTAACTCCATCCCGTCTTTATCTTCACTCCAGTGCTGCATTGCAACACCCGTTCTTGCTGAGTAATACCGAGAAGACCGTGGCCTTTTTTTTTTTTTGGTTTGGTTTTTTGTGCAGGAGTGTGGCATCTCATAAACATGCTAATGCTGGCTATAAATCTCACTTGAAAGGTCTGTGCTGCGAGCTAACCAATACCGAAACACCCGCGGTGCAGCAGAGGAAGTGAAACTTTGTGTCTGTGTTACTTCAGAAGGAACTCTATGATCGAGACGGGGCGTAGGAAGAATAAGGACCGCAAATACAGTCGAAAGATAGTGTATTTATGCAAAGAAACCGTCGATAAGGTGAAAGTGCAACGGTGGAACTTTAAAAAAAAAAGCAAATTTCTAGTAAACCAAACCAGATCTTTTGATATTAAGTGGCAGGATGTTGAGAAAAAAAAAACAATTTTTTGTTCTCAATTACAAATGCCTTTCAAAATAAAAGTCTATGGAGACATTTGTATGCAAAATAAAATAAAATAAAAATAGATAGATTTCTAAAATGGTCTAAAGACATTGAAACTGCTTGTAATAAAGCAAAATGTAGCATCACATAGGTGAGGCTGAGCTGGAGGTGGAGGAAATGAAGAGGCTGCGATCACTACGAGGAGTTTGACAAGGATGTGAGAAGATATGATAAGATTAGAGATTAAGAGATTGAGTCAGAGAAGCAACGTTCGGACGCTTCGGACATCTGCCAAAAGGAAGGTCATCAGTGCAACGAAAAAAGGGGGAAAAAATAGACCCGGGGCAGGAGGAAAAGACAGGAACAGGAAGGAAGATTCATGGGCTTCATGAAGGACATGAAATGGATAGGAAGAATTTGAGGAAGACGATATGATACTGTTACTGTACTTTGAACAAAATGTCTCAGAACTTCAATTTAAATACTGGAAATAGTCTGATATCCACCAGGCTCATATGGATATATCTATATATATGGATCCAGTATTGGCTGTTCACTACACTAACATGAGGGAGTGCGTAGACATGTCTTCTCCACACATCTGACACGCCGTCTAATCTGATAAAGTTGGCGTCGTCGGTTTCATAAAGTGCTAGCGTGAAGCGTCAAAACCCAAGTACAGACTGCCGTGCGTGAACAACATCAGGACAGAGGAGGACGTACCTACAGGAGCAGGCTATTATTAGGTTACTACAGTAATAGAAATGGATTGAAACCATCGCCCGGGTTTACTGACTCCCACTGAGTGTTCTTAAACGATTCAACGCTGGACCTTCTGTAATTTAATACAGCGTCCGTCAGGCACTGGATACCAGCTGTGATCGGTGTCGTCGTCCGAACGACTGGAATGTCTGACTTTGCTCAGGACGTTTTCCCTTTGGGGAGGAGGGGACTGGGGGACGGGGGGGCTGAAACAGATGGATGGATGGAGGATGAGGGATATAATTAGACAGCAGTGCAGATGGGTGAAAAACTAAAACAATCACGGCCTGCTGTGTTCTCCATGTGCATGTTTTGTCTGTGCATGTGGGTTGCCAGGATCCGTGGTACTGTATGCATTTTTTTGTTGTCTCCTCCCGTCCAGGTCGCCAGCCATGGGGAACCTCATTAAGGTCCTTGGCAAGGATTTAGAGAACTGTCCACATTTTTTCCTGGACTTTGAAAGTAAGTGAGCGGCGGGTCGTGTGCACGTGTCCGTGTGCTTGAACTGTGAGCCCACGTGTGTGTGTGTGTGTGTGCGGGAGAGGAGGTGTTGACGGGTGTGGCCAGAGGAGGTGTCGTTACGGATGTGACGCGGTCATGATGTGATGATGTGCTGACGTGGGTGTGGTTCCTCATGACGACTCTGTAGTCCCACTCTTCCTGCACCAGTTAATACACGATGGAGATTGTAGTAACGAGGCAGCGACACGCAGGGCTGTGATTGGTCAACAGTGCGTTGCCGCGAGCGGAAAAGATGGTCAAAAATTTAACATATATATAAATAAAATAATTTTAGAATAAATATATTTATATATAAAACAATCATTTAAAAATACAATTATTAAAAATAAAAAATATTTAAAAAATTAAAAATAAATATTATCACATTAACCTTAACGATATTTTCAATTTTAAAATCAATAAACTTTTTCCAAAGGAAATCAATTTCCCTTTAAGATTCTCACTGGTTCATTTAAAGGGACAGACCTCCCACTTGTATTCATCAATTTTTAATTCAATGAATATAAAAGAATCTACTTGTCATTTGTTATGCTAAGATATTTATAATTTTATATTATCATTTTCCTACAACACCATGTCTGCTTTTAATTTTTTTTAGAGTTTAAATTGGGATATTTTCTTAGTTATCAGGGTTAACAATATATAACTGTAGTATTAGTTATATCCAATTTTTTTTTTAGAAATGGAAACAAATTCAAATTTGAATTGGACTCATTCAAATTAAAGGCAGGACTTTTATAATGAAACCTAAATCGAGGAGTGGGATTACAGAGGCTCTGTGTTCACACTGCCATTCTTCACCCAGGACATTCTTCCATCATGTCATTCCAGCATCCAGGCACCCACCCCGACACTTTCAGTTCTCACGAACCACACACACACACACACACACACACACGTCCACACAACCCACCACGCCTCCCCCCCTCCATCACCCACACACTTTTCCCCTCTCTCTGTTCCAGGAGGCTCATGGGAAACCTCCTGAAAGTGCTGGCTTGCGCCGAACTTGAGCATGGCCCAATAGTTTTCCTTGACTTTGAACGTGAGACCATCCGCTTCTTATTTCTTTATTTTTGACTTTTGGTTTGTGTCCTTTTTCTCTACGTTGCCTTTTGCTTTTCCTTCCTCCTCATCCCATCACCGGCGGCCTGTCACTGTGCCACATCCACTTCCCTTTTTGAAATTCTTTTCTCTTTTCCTCACCTCCTCCATTCCCCACAGACTGGCATTTAAAGTCAATCGGCGTGGTCTTGGTATAGCGTCCTACTCACGCACTCCCCAGTGTACGAGGAACAGACGGACGCGTCACCCCCTCAGCTTCAAAAATAAACATAAATGCCAGTGTTGTGCGACTCTCTCCGTCGTTTGGGGATGACGACGGCTGTTTTAAATAATCGTCCATCGTCATCCCACCACCTCCTTATCTCCTCCTCTACGTGTGTGCGAGCGCGAGTGTGTGTGGCACTAAACAATGTGTGTGTAAGACGTTGAAAGTGAAAAAGAGAAGTACTAAAAGGTCACCATCTGAATAATGCCAACCTGACTTCCTCTGTTCCCGTCTTTTCCACTCAGTGGAGTTTTCTGCATCATCCATCTTAACAGCTCATTTAACTTTTAGTACAATTTTAACCTCTTCTTCAAGGAACAATTCCATCGTGGTATAACCCAAGACTAAATATTCACATTATTATGAAAATTATTCAAATGTCATTTTTCCCCTTGCTCCCCTGAATCCACCTTAAAAAGCAAAGGTCAAAAAAAGGTGAAAGCGCTCAGGGAGAGCGAGCCTCTACCGAGAGTCGACGTTATCTCGGGAGGTTAACTACGGTCACAGAGTGAATCCAAATAAATGTTACTCTGGATCACTACTGATGCTGACCTTTCCCCTCCCTGTGCAGCAGCCAACGTCTACAGATAATGCAATTTAAAACGGTCCCTAAACTCCTCACATGCAGACAGACATCAAACCAGACCACTGTGTTTGGGTACGGCCCCTTACTAGTAGCTAGTAGCATTGTAACTTAGCCAAATAGCTTACACCACAGGTTTTTATACAACTAGCAATGGAGTCAAACTCATGCAAGTATCCAAGCTGAGAGAGGAAAAAAATTTACATATTGGGTAAAACGGCTAAAAGCTAGGGGAATTATAGTCGATCTAGAAGGTAAATAAATAAATATTTTTTTCTTCATTTATTTCATATTTCCAGACTACTTTTTCCACAGAGTAAGCTGTTAAGATGGATTTGCTGTATTTTACATTTATTTCTAACATATTCCTCTCCCTCATTAACAGCTGGTTTCTTCTTTCACCATTGCACTGTGTACAGTATTTTTACAGCATGTGGGGGAAGAGCCGATATCCGACACACAGCAACAACCGTCTGAATTTTTTTATAATTAAGTATAAGAAACCTGGGTCGAACGGAACAAAACTGGAATCAGACCGTTAACTAAACTAAAAGTAAAGCAGTACGTGAAATGTACGTGTATTTAAGATGGAAGTGGAACCATTTCCAATAGAGGAAACCGTCACTGGTTACCTGACGAGCAAAACGTAGTCAAATGAGTCATGAGATATGTTTAGGTGAAATCAGCTTCCTGTTATTATTTACTTGAAAAACTCTCTGAGGGACAGAACGGACGTCAAGGCTACACATCTGTCGGAAACGCCAGGTCTTTGTAGTGTGAAGATAAAGAGGTCCGTAATTTGGAAATATTCAGGTTGAGGAAATCAAAACTACGATCGCATAAAAGTACTCTTTTGCCATTGGACACCCACCAAATTAAAATATTCATCAGCAAAGATTTTATTATTTTTTATTGTTTATTTAAGTTCACAGTGAACTTAACAAACACAATTACAAAATTAAAAAAAATGTAATTGGGCTAATATTTGCGAAAAAACATACATCGCATCAGATTTTAACTTTTTTTAGGGCTGGTTAAAAACACCAGAGATTTTTTTTTCCACGCAATTTGGAGAAGAAAATCAAGTTTAGAATCTCGAAGTCCTTAGAGTCTGTCTCATTAAAACAGTTTTGAGGGGTTCAGTGGGTAAAAATAACAAGCAGCATCTCGACTCACACTCAGTGATTTAAACAGACCCGAAGAGGTTTTTAAAAATATGTGAACAGGGATGACTATTTTAGTTGTTTATTTTAGCAAAAAAAAAACAAGGATGAAAAATAAAAAAAATGCTAACATTTTTTTTTTAACATAAGAAAAAACACACACCTGCCCTCTAACAAAATGAAACGTAACAGACTCACATCATATTTGTATCTTGCCCTCTAGGATAAACATAAACATCTTCCAGTTTTTTCCTTAATCATTAACCTCCTTTTTCCCCTTGCTCTCATTTTCGCCCCTCCTCCTCCCTTCGATGTTTTCATGTCCACACCACACTTTCACTTCCCCCTTCCTCTCTCCCTCCTCTCTGTTCCTCTTTCCTCTCTCCCGTCTGTACCTTCCTACCTTCCTCCTCTCCCAGATGCCCAGCCCACAGAGGCAGAGACTGCCGTGTGGAACCAGGTCAGCGCTGTGCTGGAGGAGGCTCATGGGATCTTAGCTGAACTGCAGTCCTACAACGGAGCGGGCCAGGAGATAAGAGAAGTGAGCATGAAGCAGTTGATAAGTGCTGATGGGCCGCAACATGGAGCTTGTGCTTGACGTTGTACAGTAAATGGTAAAACTACACGCTGTTTACTTTAATTTAAAAAAATAAAAAAAAAAATAAAAAATGCTGCGGATGTGCTGACTTTGAAGAGCAGTGCGGTGCAGTATGTTCACATTTCCTCCAAGTCATAGTAAAACCGACCATTTCCCTCTGCAGGGCGAAGAAAAAAAAAAGCTCCCTGCACCCTGCTCAGCAGTCGGCTTTGCTCTGTTTGGTACCAAATAGTGCTGAATCGCTCTCTTTCCTTGCGTCCTTCCTAGCAGCCTTGTTATCCTCTCGACTGTATTAAACCAGATGTAACTTCTTCTGCTCATGTTTTTTTAAATTAGCTAAAATTGTCAAACATGCTAATTCAAAAAAGAGGCGTAAAGTGGATGCTGGACTTAAACATCGTGTGTTTCTGCTCGCAGGCCATACAGAACCCAGGTGACCTTGCACTTCAGGAGAAGGCCTGGAATGCAGTATGCCCCCTGGTGGCAAAACTGAAAAGATTCTACGAATTTTCCCTCCGCTTGGGTGAGTCTCACCATCACACACACACACTGACATACACACACAATCTGTTTTGAAAAGTGAAATCTCAGCTCAGGCCTAAATCAGGAACACGTTCACTGTTGGCTATTAAAGGTGCAGTATGACAATATTTACTCTGTTTACCTTAACTCAGGTTAACCCTATGTGACTTCTGTGGGTAAAAAAAAAAAAAATCACGATGTGCGAAAGTGAGAACGTTTACATTGGTTTCACACATTAATAATGCATTCGCCACAGTGACAGCGACAGCTGTTCAGCAACTCCAGCAGGGATAAAAAAAGTGCGATTCGCTCTGTAAGTGACAGACAAACAGACAAAAGCACTGACACAGGCGGCGCAGTGTAGATTCTACGAAGAAGTCTCAGAACAATTTTTACAAAACGGTTATTCCTGAAACTCCCAAACAAATAAAAGACTTTAATTATAACAATTATATATAATTATATATAAAAAAACATTATAACTAATATAGCAATTTCAAATGTGTTTTTTTTTTCAACACATCTAACCTGCCTTTCAGCCTCGGCCCTCGTCACTACTGCGGTGATGAATTTGTGTTCGGCCATAAAAAATAATGAATCATGTGCCGAATAATCCAACATGATGTACCACATTGTGTCGGTGCAGCAGCAGCATCGGTGTACACATACACGACAACGCGCGCACATTATCGATGATGTTGTCACAGCTGTCTCTGCAGCATCCTGATGGTTGCTAGGGAAACAGTGGTACTTAGTAACCTGGCAGAGGGAGGAACGAGAGAGAGAAGGAAGGAAAGAAGGAAGGAAGTGTGCGCAGAAAACCACTGCTAATGCTAATCTGCCGTCAATTATCAATGCTTAGCATCACGATGACGTATCAGACCTCAGGTATCTTTACGGAGCAGACGTGTCCGTCTGATGTCTCAACAGACGACAGGACCGTCATGTTGAACACAAGATTATTGATTCCGTGTTTGCTCCCTTTCGGTTCACATGATCAAAGCGGCCACCAATATCTGCTGAAGTATTTCTGCGTCCCTTTGTAGTAGTATTCTGTCCATACTTTTTGGACATCGCCCTCAGTGAAGACAGCAGGAGGGCGAGATAGAGGAGGGGCTGGTGGTGGTGTTTGTGCTCCAGACCCCTCACATGAAACACTCGGAGCGCTGTATTTATAAAAGGACCTCATGCATTTTTAATGCAGAGGAAGGGACGGGCCTCAGGAGACCGCTGCACACCACCTCAGAGGTCTGGCTCTGCTCTGTGTGAAAATGAACGTGAACGTTAACAATTTAAAGTCAAGAATAAACTCCAGGACTGATCTCAGTGCTGCAAATTAAAAAGAAAAACCCAGAATAGTCAAGTCATCTGGCTCTTTTTTCTCCCTCCGTGCGAAGCTCCAATTTGTCATTTCACATAATTTACACCATGTTTTACAGCGCTTAACACGAGCGCCGCGTTGCAGCAAGACAAATTCGGAGAGTTTCTGCCGCTACATGCAAATAGCTCTCCAGTTATAATTAGTCACGGCAGCGCCTTGACCCAAATGCCAACATTAGCTTGCAAATGTGCTCACTGTACAAAAAAAAAAAAAAAAAAAAACTATTTTCATATTTACCATCCCAGTTCCAGAATTTGGAGGCCAACGCTTCTATAATTAGCACACCGGGTAAACGAATATTTCACATTTTTTATGGATAAATTACAGTTACAGTTTCCTCCCTAGCCCAAAACCAACACCGCTACACCGAGACACGAAGTCGCTTTTAAACCATCAACTCTACGGCAGATATACGAAGGAGAGGTTTTATAAAAAGGATTTCAGAGGGAGATCGGAGATGAAGACTCCGCGTCTCAAAAGAATAAAAAATCTGAAGGTGTGATGTCTCACAGTAGGACACTGTCAATCGTCTGTAGCCCGTCTGTAGTCAGTCACGCCTGAGGCTGTACCAGCGTATCACAGCAGGGAGTCGAACTGCACCCTGATTGGTCATCAAGGCTTGGGATAACATTTGGAGAACTGTTTTCTGAAACGTTTTTTTTTTTTTTTTACAGAAAATGCCCTGCGCAGCCTGTTGGAGGCGCTCACAAGCCCACCCTACGCTCCGATGCAGCATCTGGAGAGAGAGCAGGCCCTGGCCAAGCAGTTCGCTGAGATCCTTCACTTCACACTTAGCTTTGATGAACTAAAGGTGAGGGGGGGGGGGCTCTACTTCTCTGCTCTTGTTTATGTAAATCAATACATCCGATATAAGTGGACGACAGAAACATTTATCTGCTCCTCCGCTACGTCACAGATGACAAACCCAGCCATTCAGAATGACTTCAGCTACTACAGGAGGACCATCAGTAGGAACCGGCTGAACAACCAGCAGGTGGAGCTCAAATAATATTTGTATCAGTACGTGTTTTTCTCTTTGTTTGTTTGGGTCCATTTATATCCATCTGTTCCCCTCTTGCACGCAGCTGGAGGCAGAGAACGAAGTGAACAACGAGATGGCCAATCGGATGTCCCTGTTTTACGCCGAGGCCACGCCCATGCTCAAGACGCTGAGCAACGCCACCACTAAGTTTGTTTCAGAGGTACTGCTACGTCTAAGTCCCCCTTCGTCCCCGGTTCGGTCGAGTACTCATTTCGGGGGCCGTTTCACTATAATGGAAAAAACATTTTGTCATCAATTTCCGTCTGTCACAATATGTCAGTTCAGACGCAGCAGAAATTTTCCAACTTCACACCTCAGTGCTTTTTCAACGGAGCAGAAATCCCGCAAAGACTTTCGGGGGGTTCATAAACAATTCAGAGGACATGTTGGGTCAGAGATGCTTTTTAGCAAAGTCACTCTCAGGCCCTGATGCTTCACTGGATTCTGAAGATATGATCTTTCTCCCCCTTGTGGTAGAACACGGTATTTAACTGTACTGTACAGTATACTGATTTTTTTTTTTTTTCAGAATAAGACCCTGCCCATAGAGGACACCACGGACTGTCTGAGCACCATGGCCTGTGTGTGCCGTGTCATGCTGGAGACTCCGTGAGTGTTTCCAAAGTTTTCCCTTCCCTCCTTCATCTTCTTGTCTGAAGACATCTTTACATTTTCCCTCCGCTCTTTCTTTGTACCCAGGGAATACCGCTGTCGGTTCACCAACACGGACACCATGCTCTTCTGTATGAGAGTGATGGTGGGCGTCATAATCCTCTACGATCACGTTCATCCCGTCGGAGCCTTTGCGAAGACCTCCAAAATCGACGTGAGTGTGTCACAGATTCGTGTTAAATAACACATTTTTTAAAAGCTACTTTGGACAAATTACTTTTCAATTTACTACCCCGGGGCCATCCACTGCAAAACGCAAAGGCGGGAATTGCTTTGATGAGCTTTCCTGATGTGTATTTATCAGCCTCGCCGCAGCATCACAGTGTGCTGTGAAACGCTTCGACTTAACAGGCCGTTAAACCTGCAGGTGACGCCGCTTCACTCTGCTGTCGGATAGATTTGAATAGACTTTGACGAGAAAAAAAAAAAAAAAAAAACTGTTGAGGAAGTTTAAGTGGACGGATTTATGTTTTTATATTGGTCCCAGAATCAGTACGACGACAGTTTATCGCTCGGGGCTGTAAATGGCAGGTTGTGTTTGCTACGGCAGCAGGAGACGAGGAGGCGGGAAACCGCTGACCTTTGTCTGACCCCCTGCCTTTGTGTGTGACAGATGAAGGGCTGCATCAAGGTGCTAAAAGAGCAACCGTCCAACAGCGTGGAGGGACTTCTGAATGCACTGAGGTGAGTGTGCAGCAAAAATTTGTGGGAAATCAAAAAATAAAATAAAAACTCACAAACGCGTCCCTCTCTTTTTTTCAGGTATACGACACGACATTTAAACGATGACAGCACCTCCAAACAAATCAGGGCCCTTCTGCAATGAAAAGAGAAGAGGAAGGACAGGAGAGGAGAGGAGAGGAGAGGAGAGGAGAGGAGCGCACTTGAAGGAGAAGAGAAAGCCGAGGAGGAAACAAATACCAGTGGCTGATTCACCTGTTCGTTTACAAAGAAAGAAGAAAAATTGTGTCCAGTTTATGAGTGACTTGATGAAATAGGAAGAGGAGAGTAATTATATATATATATATATATTGTCAGCTGTCCATCATTCTGTCTCTCATTTTGTAAAGTAAGAAGAAAAAAAAAAAAAAAGAAAAAGCAAGAAAAAGAAAATATAGATATATATTAAAAATGAAGCGAAACACGAGCAGCGGATGAAAAGTAGGTAGTTTAAAGAATCTATATTGAAGAATCTACGGTCAGATCTGAAGCAAAGCAGAAAATCTATTAAAAAAAAAAAAAAAGAGAAAAAGCCAGAAAAAGAAAATATAGATATATATTAAAAATGAAGCGAAACACGAGCAGCGGATGAAAAGTAGGTAGTTTAAAGAATCTATATTGAAGAATCTACGGTCAGATCTGAAGCAAAGCAGAAAATCTATTAAAAAAAAAAAAAAAGAAGGGCTCTTGTTCCAACGGTAGTCTGACAAGTATTTTTTCACTCACTTTAAACACATCACCCCCGTCCCCCCAGTCCCTTCACATCAGCTCCTTTGGCTGCGATCATCACCGCGTAGTCAGGCAATATGATGGATAACCTCCGGAGAGTTGCTTCAACCCGTTTTAGTTTTCATCGTCTCCGCAGCTGAAGGGACAGAGGGAAACGTTTTTGGGCTTTTTCCCCCCACCTCGTCTCTCTATAGGTTGTGTGCTTTTCCAGTGGCACCACAAACTAGAAAATCCATCCACGTGGACTCATGGCTCTACACAGTTTAGCATTAGCCCTGCTCTGTTTCATCTCCATGGTGCTAATGTGATGTAACCGTCACAGGCCGAGCCTCATGGACGCCGTCAGGCAGGATAATGAAGGTCTTCTTCATCCACCTTCACACTGACGCGTCGAACCACATTTCCCGAAAAACAGCCGACCTGCCCTGTGTGTTCACATCAGTACGCCGGATCTGTTTTTTTTTTTTTAAAACGATGAGATCCGTGACAGTCATCAAAGGAAGTCACAGCGCGGCTAATGTCCTCACTTAGTGCCAAAGCTGATTGGTTTACACTCTTTTTACGTCATCAATCCAGCTAACATGGCCACGCGCCCCCCAACCCCCCCACCCCCCCAGGCTCGGACAGGGCACAGCGCGTTCACCGCAGATGGCGACGTGTCGCCCTTACCCCCACAGAAGTGCCGGTTCTCACCAACCAATGAAGGGTTGAGGAGGGGAAGCTTTGAGGGACACGGGTCAATCATCGTCACTACAGACAGGAAGTACAAACACGACGCGGAATTCAGAAAGTAGTGATCGACTTCGGGGAGCTATCTGAGTGTAAATACATAACACGAGTTTTTTCCTGGCATCTGCGAGTCAGATGGGGCCCTTGAGATAAAAATAAATAAATAAATAACTTCATCATCTGCATACAACTTGAGTCCTCTCTTTAAAAACGAAGGCCGATGAAATTGTGGAATAAAAACCGGAGGACAAGAAAAAAAAAAGATTTAAAACGACGTGCTGTACTTTGGATGTCTATAGACTTTAGTCTAATTTAATTTGATCTTATATTTTCTATACAGGGCTATGTGGACGAGCATATTCTGTATAAATATATCGATGGCATGTTGTAAAAGTTCTGACGGAGATGTGTAAATAAGGTGTTTTTATTCATTTCTAATTGTTCGGTGACGCTGAAACTGGATACGTGTTGTCTTTCAGAACTACCATGCGTTTGGCTTGGACCACTGGACTCGCAGTAATCATAGGTTTCAGAGTGCGCTCTCCATTTGCTTGTTATTTTGTACATTTTGTGCAACAATAAACTTGTCATTTATTACATTAGCAGCTGACGTCGTGCTGTGTCTGTGTGGGCGCAGATGTGCTGTGTGTGTAAACAGAGCAGTTACTGTCTGTACATCTGGAACATTTCTCCATTATTAATGCAGCCTTCCTGTTCAACAGCTCGGTCACGTGACCACGGCGGACCAGAATAGAACGGGTAACAGGCAGCGTCCTGGCAGGTAGAACAGTCGTCGCCACTTTTATAAATATCCTAGATTTGACAAACAAAGGTTCTCTGTTAGCCACGACTTCTCAATTGAATTAAATTTGAATAATTTGGAGCTACTCAGCTAGAATATCTAGTACTTGGACTGTTTGTATACTTCTTACTAGAACAATAACTGCATAAAGGATAAATATATCCATCTTCTTTTGCTCCTGCAGTGCTCGCCTCCATCTAACCATCTCCTTGTTCACTTTCCTTATTTCCATAAATCCTCACAGGAGTCTTACTCTCCTCCTCCCACCTCGCAGCTCCATCTCTGACATCCTGAGTCTAGGATATCCACCGTCTCTTCCGAACCAAAACGAGCTAACTTTATCTCGTCCTCAGATCTGCTTCCAATGTGTCAATCCAGAGATTTTCCACCTTCGCTAACTTCAGTTAGAAACACTTCCCCGCTTTTCTTTCTCAGCAGTCTTTACATTAACGGTCGTCCAATTATAACCAGCAACCCTGTTGCTCAACAGCACAGGGGGCAGTCGTCGCTACCTGAGTTAGTGAGATGGAGGTAAATACTGTGGTGACCCCTGGATGGAACTATGTTCAAGTGAATTATAAAATAGTAAACAGTAAGAATCAGTTTAGTCGTTGTAGTAGTATTTGTAGCAGTCGTGTTAGTATAAGCAGCAGTCGAAGTAGTAGTAGTAATAATAGTATTCTATTCTACTATTAAAAGTAAAGTAATAATACTAGAGGTAGTTGTAGGAGTACAAGTAGTAGTAGGAGTGGAAGACGGGTGCCTCTCAATGATTCATCAAGTTTCTTTCTACTTTTACCGCTAGGTGGCAGCAAATAACCATTTTACATGCAAAAATAATATCCGTTAGATGTACATGCACGGGTCAAGTGCTCTATCAGGACGACGACAACAACACCTGAGAGGACCAAATGTTACACCAGAGATGAAACACAGGTATATCTAGATGTATATTTAACCGTTCAATCATTAACATTAACAGCGGCCTCCCTTTGTTGATCTACATACTGTTTAATTATTAAGAGACGTGGACGGGTTTAATAGTTCGATAACATAGTTTTGCAACAAGTCACAGCTGTTGTAAAAGGGGGGAGAGTGAGGGAGTGAGGGAGGGAGGGAGAGAGGAAGGGAGAGAGGGAGGGAGAGAGGGGCAGAATCAAGCCTGCCAGGAGTTATATATGGAAAAAGTATGGGGGCAAACAGATACTGCACCATCTCAGTGGGAAGAAAAACAACTTTGACTTCTACAGATGGAAGGGAGGAGCACATCCAGTGACTGTACAGAGTTCACATGAGAACTGTATTTTTCAAAACACAAATAATGGCAAGCACCGGTCAGACTGTGGACTCGGACTGTTCTGTTCTATCTATCTATCTATCTTATTATATATCATATTGTTGATGTTGTTGTTGCTGTTTTGCAGTCAACAAAGAACATGTTACAAAGATCCATGTATTCAAAGCCCAGTACTGTTCCTCCATTTTGACCGTATAAGCCTTTTCAAATTTATATATATATATATATTATATATATTCTCCCGAATTTTACCACTAAAAAAATAGCACAACCAACTGTTTGTCAATCGTCATGACAGTTACAAACGCAGCATTCACGCTGTGCGGCAGCGAACTTAGCTTTAGCTGTAGTTACACGGATATTAAACGTTAGCGAAATATATCTATCTTATTCATGTTCCATAAGGGTAGAGCAGCGGAGTGAGACATTTTATGGTAAGATTTTATCAAGAAATCGCGGCCGGTTGTTTGGTTTTAGCTCCGCCAACAACGAGTCAGCAGGTCAACATTAAAAAATGCACAAAAGACGACATTTAAACCCGCAAATCTTCACGTAGAAGACTAACTCTCTTAGCACTAGGTCTAGGGACCACTGCATTAAGTCCGTAATAAATTTTAAAAAAAAATAAACTGAGTAAAATGATACACTTTTGATGAATTTTTGCTGTTTTCTGTTACTCTTATGTTATTTTACCACAAACCTGGATCATTAAAAACAAAATACGCATCTATAAGGTAAAAATCATAATTACAATGATTTTAATTCATATTAAATCTCAATTATTCAAAACAATTGAATACAGTGTGCATTGTTCTGGCATGGAAGAGTTCATTCATAAAACAGGGCTTTAGTGGATTTTTCACACTTTCTCTTACAAGTTTTTTTTTAAATTGAACTAAAAAAAAATAAAATCTTATGTTTTCACTTCTGCATATTTGACCCTGTTCTGTGTGAAACTCTTCACAAAATATCTTCATAACTGAAACCTCACTGTCAGCTGGATTACATAACCTCATTTCCCCTCAAATGTTTTGCAAATTCTCATTGCGTTACTCTTTTCCCTCCAACAGCGGGCGGGAATGGCGGCACATTTGAGCCCGAGTTATTAACCGTTAACTGCCTTGCAGCGGGATCACCTTATCACCTCCGTGTGTTGTTCACCTCCACTGGCTCTCTTTCTATCTCTCTCTCCCGCCTTTAAACACACACTCCGCTTTTGATACCTTTGTCTCAGAGTTTACATTTACAACCGTCAAACAGTCCATTCAGCGCCTACTCTTTGTCATTGACCCTGAGTATTTCCAGTGCTCTAACTGTTGGTTGCCATGTTGACATGTTGCTTAAGACATTTTTGCTACTACTTTTAACCCTATGAAACCATTATAAACTGACAGTTTAAAATTGAATTAATTTATTAAAATTTTATTTTTTATTTATCTTATTTTTTTATAGAGTGTTATGCTGGTTAAGGACTGTGTGTAGTTCAGCAGATTCCTGCCTAAGAATCATCCAAATGTCTCTCGGCTGTTGTGTAGCGATTAGTTGCGTATTGATTTTTAAACGCTAAAAGATGTGATAACATCTGCGGAACGCAAGTTACCACATTGAAATGAATAGAGCAAAAGGCCGAGGCTGGACTAAAGACCAAACTATTGACTTCTCATCGCTCGAGTCGCATCAATAACTTCGAGTACCTGCAGAGAAAAAAGCCAAGTGCATTACTGAGCTTGTTAAAAAAAAAAATCAATAGAGCACATTACATAACTCCACCGCCTAGGATCAAATCTCACATATGTTGTGTATCTGCTGTCGGTCCACTGGGTGCTGCTGCTCCGTGTGTCGTAGCACACGACCTGGTCATGTAACTGGGGCCTTTGTTGAAAACGGGGTGAGAAGGATGTGCGTGAGCACGAACTGTAGTGAAAGCAGCTGTTTTTGGGCTACATGTTTTCTACTGTTACATAGGGTGCTGTTACGTAAGGGATACTGCAGAACATCAGTGGACAGAGAGCTGTTTCACAACACGGAACAAACGTGTCAAAATAAAATTTAAAATTTTTTAACTTCAACTAAAAAAGTTTTTTTGAGGCCAATAACTTATATTTAATGTTTCTTGCTACAGTTATTTTTTTTCCATGGAAATGCATGGATTTGTGTCATGTTTGAGGGGAAATTATTATTATTATTATTATTATTATTATTATTATTATTATTATTATTATCACTGTACAAATGTTTTAAACAGAGATGTCTATTATTGGTCAACCAATGTTATTGGCCCGATATTAGCTTAATTGTAATAATATTAATAATAATGTAATACCTGTAGGAGTCGTTATCGCTTTGTCCTCCAATAAAAAACTAAAAACAATTTTAGGGATAAACGGCTGAATATTACAATGAAAGTCACTAGAGGGCAGCATTGCAGCTCATTTAATTAAGCTATTTTAATAATCAGGGCATTGTATGCAGAATGCTGGTGCCAGAAACTCATACAGTGGTTTGTACAAATACAAAAATTAATATAACCATTTGCCTGTATCTGTATCGGCCATTATTGGAATCGGAAGTTAAGTGTTTGGACAATATGACTAATGTCGGATATCTGCTTATAATTCAAAAGTCACCTCACTATGTATTAGGTTTGTTTGGTTTGTTTATAACTCTGCTGCCCCCTGTAGGAGTAACCAGGAACCTTCTTAGGAACCTAAAAAGAATGTCACTATAAAAAATATTGAAAGCAAAATTATTTTTCTACATTTTTCTACAAATGTATTGCCTACTTATTTCATAGTGTCTCTGTTTTTGGAGCTGTACAAGCTAACTAACTACAAGCAAAACAAATTATCTTTGCATCTTTAAGGTAAAATTCACATTTCTCCAATACTGCCCTTAATTAAAAATGTAATGAATATGTGCAACATTATGCCACTGCTAATTGTCCAGAAGTACTCCTTAAACTGCATGCTAACAAATGCCATCCCATTCCACATTTCCCATCATGCCCAGGTCACAATTTCCAGGAAAGAAACAAATCCAGTTCGTCAGCTTCGACCTAATCCTCGCCGGCAGCCACAGAGTTAAGCTCAGCGACAGGGGAGGGTCTCGGCTCCGCCCCCTCTCTTCATTTACATATCAGGCGGGAAGCCCTGGCTCTTTGTTGCTGCTGAAACCAATCAGAGACCCGCCCGCGCGCAAAACGCCGCGCTGGCGGGAAAAGGCCGGCTTCAGCGCTCCAGTCAGTGACAATGGAGAAAACCAGACACCCACCCATACACACACACACACACACACATACACACACCCTCTTTGTCTCACATACAGTACACTGCAGAAACTACTCCCTGTGCACTCACTCACACACACACACACACACACACAGTCAGTCCTTTATATGCTGGCACTCCTGTTTCCTGCCTGAAAGCAAAGGTGAAAGAAGTGAAGAGACACAGAGACACAGAGATGGACGGCAGGATCAAGCAGGAGATCTGGTGGGATATTAAAACACCTGTGACACAAACACACACATTACATCACAGCCCCCCGGTAACACCACGAGAATTCCTGACCGCTTTAGGAGTGCGACGGCGGCCCAACCAGACCCTAATGCATCGCCTCTAAGCAGCTTTGTCTAAAAATAAGCACATTATTATTATGATTTCTATGCAACACAAAGAGAGCGTCGCGTTCCCTCAGCGGACCTGGGAGTTGACCTGGTGGGAGAAAGGCACCGTGTTGCTGGAAAACAGGAAGGTGTGTCACTCTCTGTCTAGGAGTGGAAGAAGAAGAAAAAAAGAAATTAGAGAAAGGGGGGGAGGAAAACAAAAAAGTGCCATCTGCATGACATAATCAAAGAGGAAACAAGCAGGAAGAGAGAGTGAGAAGAAGACAAGCACAGACTGCAGCGATGACACTCCTCCTGAACGCAGTTCACAACTAATCACATCTCCTCCTCTACACGCCCTTCAGCCGCTTCTCCTTTTTCTCATTTAGGCAGCCACCGCCGGAGCCAGACGGTGTGATACAGAGAGCGGCATGAACTCAGTGAACCTCAGTTCATCCCTATAGACACACACACACACACACACACACACACATCAATAAATGATGCGCTGCTACTGTGCTCGGGACGCATACATCACATCATACTGAAGTGCTATAAACTGCCTGAAATAGTCTGCTGCGGCGTCGTGCACACTCATCCTTGACTACTGTGTGTGTGTGTGTGTGTACAGATCAACATCAATGTGTGTAGTTACAGCCTGGGTTAGAGCTGGATGGAGCAGGTGTGTTTGTGTTTCAACATGTAACGTTTCCCCCTCCCGCTTTCGCGACGTACATTCTCAATTTTCTTCCCCCCACAGAGCGCCGAACAATGGCCGCCGGGAAAGAGGAAGCTAGCTGACGGACGCTCAGGAACAGGACACAAATGTCAAATGGAACTGCAGAGGTCTCTGTATGCTGGAGATAAAAGTGAACCAGCACACAGCTGGCAGATTGGTTTCTGACTCGTTTCACATTCTTCTGCGGGAAGATTATAAAAGCATGTGGTGTCTGTCTACTCTAAGACCTTGCCATTCCCAAATACGCGACCTTGTTGTGTTGTCTGTGGACGCACTCCGAATTAGACTTAGAGACTCTAAGACCTTGCCATTCCCAAATACACGACCTTGTTGTGTTCTCATGAATAAAGCGCCTTCTCTGTAGTTCCATCCTCAGTACAGACGCCTCATCTGATCAGCCGCTGCCGTGTCGGTCTACCCCAACCCGGGGTGCCAGATGGCAGGGAATGTTTAGTCAAATGGGATTGGAGATTAGGGAATTAGTGGGACTTCAAATTACCTAGATGCACAGTCACTGGATGATTTACGCGGTAAAAGCAGATTGGTGAAGCAAAGCGCTGCTCAAGTTCAACGGCGACGACGGATTTCACTTGAAGCGACCGACGCTCAAACGTGACTGCGAGTTCACTTCCCTGCACGAACCTTTATGATGCAACTCAAACATTTCCTCAGATCAAACTTGGAATCGCCTTCAGGGACTTTAGAGACCAAACTCTAAACCAAGTGGAGTCGACACAGACATCAGTTCAGAGACCTAACCCTATGACGTAAGGAATTTGACTTTTTTTTTTTTTAAAGGCATTCTGAGAGTCTTTTAACCCTAAAACGACTGGATTGATGGACTTTTTTCAAAGACTCAGATCAGTCCTGAAACTCAACGTGAACTCCAACTCGAACAAGTATCATCATGTCTGCTGTTGTTTTTGCAAAATCAAGTCGAAGTATTTTCAACTTCGAGGAAAAACCCGTCTTGATAGACTAACATTTCACGAGCTAATTTCAAAGGAAACTCGGGAAGCGCAGTGTCCAGCACCAAAGGCTGAGACGCCAACGGAAAAGAGGTCAGATGGAGACACGCTGCATCTATAGGCTGCAGTGTGTGTGTGTTAGTGTTACATAAGTCAGTCTGTGGTTCCCCTTAGTGTGGGCCTCACGTATGGAACAGGCTGTGCTCTGTGAACGTATCCAGCTACTGAGCCGCTGCAGGGCAACAGAGGACTGACATAGAAATGAGGCACTGACACCGACTGTGAGGACATTTCCGAGGCTGTTCTTTCTCTCTCTCTCACACACACACAAACACTATGTAGGTATCACCAAATCAAATACCCAAAGAAACAGGAAACCTCTACATAAGCAGAACTGGCGGCGCAGCACCGGCGGCTTTAGCGGGCTTTGCTAAAACGCCCGTAGCTTACGAGTTCACTCGGTGCATGAGCGTGCGCACAACAGTAAGATTCAACGCATCGTGATGCGTTAATCACTAATTAGCCCCGTGACCCAGATGCCACCCTACTACTCGGAGTGTGTGTGTGCTTTCACGAGGCTTGAAGTCTTATGTCACTGAATTGCACAACCGCTCATTCTGTCTGTGTGGAATGATTCAGCGGCGCCTGGAGGTGCCAGGCAGGCACCTGAGATAACAGCATACCTCGCATAAAAGCTGCTCAGGAAAATGCCAGGAATGAACGAGGAAGATGACGAGCGACGTCTCAATTTACGATCGCACACATTGTCTTAGTAATTACATGGTGTGTAAAAAAAGGGCTCAATAAAGAGGGAAAGGAAAGGGAAATATTATGGCAAGCTGGATAAAAATATAACAAGAAGGAAATGGCGATCAGTGTGACTCCTGTACTGTATGGTAAGTCCCCAGTAAGCTTGAGGTCTGACCCAGTTAAAAAGAGAATGTGGGGCACACACACACACACACACACACACACACACACACACACACTTCCAACTATTATACGGCTGAAAATACTTTCAGTCATGTGGATGAGGTCAAAGATGGAAGCTTGTGATCTTAACTTCAACTGAAGAAACAACACTGAATGAAAGAGCCGTTTGTAATGAAGCCAAATCATTCAGATTCTTAAGTAAGGAGGGGGAAGGCAGGTAAAGTCAGGGATGACCACACGAAGCTAGCGGAGCGACAGGTATCGTGTGTGCAGTTTTAGAGTACACACACACACACAAGACTTTGCAAACACACTCTCGACGACGTAGCAGCAAACCATGACAGTGCAATATCTATGCGAAGAAAAATAGAGGTGTCATGCAAGAAAATTCATACATTTTTCTTAAAAAAAGGAATAGAAAAAAAAACTTAAAATTATTACTAATTAATTCGGTAATCAAAAATAAAATTAAAAATAACTGTATTTTTATTAAAAATAAAATCAAAATATTTTCTTCCTCCAACCATCAGGCTGGACACCAGTACCTGGGTGTGGCTCATTTAGTTCCACACAGATAGAATAAATATTGTTTTAATTTTAAAAACTTTAGTCAGCATAGTATTGTCTATTCCACTATATACATTATTATTAAAAAATAATTATATTAATACAAATATATTTAACTTGCATTTGAAATGTCATTTAAAAGTACCGATGGTGTATTTATTGGTAGTAACTCTTAAGTATCTCTTAATTTCTAATGAATTTTTTCTCCTTTTCTTCTTTTCTAATATAATATTAGGTACATTATAGGGTAGAAAAAATAACATTAAAACATTTTAAACTCACCTCATTTTGACTACATTGAGGGAAAAGGTTTGTTGTGACACTCTCGGGGCGGGGGTGTACAGCTACCCACAGCATCAGGTGCTCGGCACTTTAGGAGCCAGCGATAACAGTGTTCTCTTGGACTGGGCTATAAATAATAAGAAGGTAGATTTTAAGTTTAAAAGACGTTTACTTTGTCGTCGGATGTGTACATCTCCACGGTACACCGCCGTGCGGACGCAAAGAAGATTATTGCTATGCATCAGCAGAAGATCTCAGGAAAAAAAACAACATTTAAACTGTATACAGCTACCCCAACAATAGATTATCTAAAGTGACATCACATCCACTTGCATGATTAGTAAAGTGCATTTTTTTTAGCTCAAAACAAGACATTCAGTTTAAGGCACGTTGAATTCAAAGAGAAAAAAAGGCTTTCTTTAAATAGTCGTCATTTTGTTTTTAGTCTTTCACGGTCAATACGAATACTGCAACTCGGAGTATCTGCAGATACCGGCTTCACTCTGATAGCTTCTTTGTTGCGCAAAGTATTGGATCGGACGGGCTACAGTTGTTTTTATCGATATCCGATTTTGAAATTTGAATGTCCAAGTCCGGGACGTTACAAACGACGATCCAATGGTGTTCACAGACCCGGCTGAAACGATGAAGATGGAGTCTAAATGTGGACAGAAACTTGCATATATGAGTGCTGCGCGAAGACTTCGGTCGGAAGAAGACTGATCGGTCACTTCTGCGTCAACTCTGTTTCACCGCGCGTCGTCTCCGCGTCTTCGGCACGGCCCGCAGCGTCACGGTCTTCTGACGGAGTCTGGACCTGGTCCGTCTTCCTCTTCTTCTTCACGTGGTAGTGATGCTTCTTTGACTTCAGGTGAGCTGCAGGTCACAGGTCATGTCACAGTTCAACTTACCGCGTCGTGATGTGTGTATTATACCGACCGGTACAGCACACACACACTCACCTGTCCACTCCAGCTCTCCGAGGATCAGTTTGTCACAGAGGTCGCACGTGTAGAGATGACGTTTGTTTTTCTGCCCGGCGCCCTCTACTCTGATTGGTGCAACTGCCGGCTCTTCGCCCTGTATAGTTTGCAAAATGTTTAATTAGAAATGAGACATGTTTTTTTTTTTTTTATTCTTTCAATGACCTGGTTAGATTGCGGTTGTTGTTTTCAATTGTGCAAAACAACCAGTGTGTTTTTTTTTTTGGTTTTTTTTGTATTGTGTCTGGAACAAAAACTGTTTGATTTCACTGAAACACAACAATGATTGGAAAGCAGTTTCCCCTCCTTAGGGCTAATGTTCTTCTGTGGTGGACAGATGCACTTGAAATTACTTACTGCGAGCTATTCATTTGGGTAGAGAGTTGTTATCATAATGCGAACCATAAATATTCACTTATTTATTCAGGACTTACCTCACGGCTTCACAGAGAGGGGAAAAAAAAAAAAAAAGAATGGAGAAAATTTGCAAATAAAAACACTTTCTCTCCCTGAAGCGAGGCTGCTTAGATACAAATGAACCTGCTGCTTTAGAGCGATTCGGTGGCACGTTGACTTTTTTTTTAAAACAAACCAATAAAAGTAGTAGTTTTCTCATTTGTTCACATGCCGATACTTGGTACCAGTCGGGATACTATTTTAGGTGGGGTTTCAATAAATATTTAAAAAACCTAATAGTTTAAGTGAAGGTTTTCTTTCTGCAACGACCAACGGGTGTTTACACAATTAGCCAGAACAAACTTTGTGTCAGTACTTCAAACAACTGCATTTCAAATACCTTAAATACATCTTGAAGGTGTTAGAGATAAGGAGGAAAACGAGAGAACGAAACTGGGTAGAGCCAAAAAGAATTTTTTTTTAAATTGCAGAAATGTTCGTAAAAGAGATCACTGTAGAAAATGTATATATATATATTTTTTATAAGTGTAATACGAGTGAGTAAGAGAGAAGGAATGGAGAAGGAGGAAGCTGTAGCATAGCAGTGAGGCCACACCTTACTGAGACTGTCCAGTATCTGCAGTGCAGGAGTCAGCACCGTCTCCTCCCACCTCGACACGTCCGTCACATCCAGGCCGTACACTGGTGGCACGTCGTCTCCAGGCCCTGCACAGACACACACTGCAGGGTTTACACACTGGATTCTTACTTATGTGGGTGAAAACAGCACACTCCTTCACAGTCTTTTCACTCATAATTAATGCCCTAAACGCACACTTGTGCTGATGCTACGTCGTACAACGAGAGATCACAGAGGGGGAAAAAGCTGAGGTGGACTCCGGGATGAATCAAATGCAAAGCGGTAAATTTAAAGTGGCAGTGATGCGCCGGAGCTGCACCCTGACGCTCCGTCAACTTGCTGACTCACACTGGCTCGATAAAGCCTCCGCCTTCTCTCCTCTCCTCTCCTCTCCCCCCCTCCTTCCTTCTTTCCTTCCTTCCCTCTTGTGCGCCATCTCTCTCCATCACTCTCTCATCCTCCCTCTCCCTCTCCCCATCTCTCACTGTTCCAGCCCTGCCTTCCCATTTCACATCAGTCAGCAGTCTGCGGGGCCTCAGCTCCGAACATCAGCCTGTCTTTATGTCTCTTCATCCATACGTCTGTCTGCATTTAGAAGCCACTGCACCGGACCGACACAAACACCCGCAGCGGAAACTGGTTCCTTTTAAAGCTGCAGACACATCACAACTAAGGCTGCCAGATGCACTGAGGATATTTAATTAAATACAATTAAATATGTTGTGTTAATTATATTTTAATACCTTGACATTAATGCAATATGTAAAATAAAAAATTTTACTAAATTTATTAAATTCCCGCATTAGGAAAAGTCTATAAGGGACAATTTATTTGGATTTCATTCATTTTTAGAAATTAAGTCAGAATATTTTATGTACATACGAGATCATTTTAGTTGATTTTTCTTTGATTAATTACTTCCAAATCAAACAGCAGTATTCCATTCTCCTAATGTCACACGGGAGTCACGAGGAAACGACACGTCGCCTCCTGCGGCGCGGTTTTTGCGTTCACTCTTTTATCGGTGTTAAGCACATACACTTAGGCAAATGGATCCCATTAACCTGTAAGGTGCAGTCGGTCGACTTAATTAAAAGCTAATCCTTTCCACACACCGACTGTGCCGTGGGATCTGTGACGCTAACAGTATCGCCTCTGTTCGAGAACAACCAAAGTCTTCAACGTCTGATGAACATGTGACGCATTTCAACGGCTTCACGCGGTTTTCAATCTGTAGGAAATCTAATAACTGGGGTACAAAGAGTATCGTAGCATCATGATCGTAGTACTTTTAAGGTTCAATTCCAGCATTGAAACAACCTCGAAACCCCACCCCCACACACAGAGATAACTAACTAACCAATAACTAAGTAACTCGTCTCTACAGTTTCACTGTACAGAGATGTATTTCAGCACACGTCGACTTGGCAGACTTTGATAACACTATTCATCGAGCACTTCAGCATTAAGTACTTCAAATATACTGACGATAGTTTTATTGGACAATGGGCTGTTAACTGAAGTGTTGGAGGCCTTTTTACGGGTATTAAACTAATGTTCTACGGCGCATTAAAAACAGATCCTTAAAAGTTGGTAGGAAAACATTGACACCCAAATACTTTCTTTGCTTGCTAAAAAAAAATTCTGTAAAAAAAAAAGGGGGAAGGAGGCTAAAAAAAAAATGGATTTCTTCACCTGATGCCTATTGTTTACAGTGGGATGTGTTACTAAAATAAGTAACTCTTAATAAAAGTAAGTGATTCCCAACCACTGTGCCGTAATTATCCAATTTCACTCAATTGGGCTGAAAACAATTTTTTATTTATTTTTATATAATTTTTTTTAGAATGAAAGGCTGATCAATTCTGCTAGGGGGCAGCAGATAGCTATGAAAACTTAAAAAAAAAAAAAAAAAAAAAGGAAAACAGACGGTTAAAAATTATTTTGTCTTTTTTTCATTTCCGCC